GCAACTTTACAGATCTTCTTTATGCACCAACAGCTTGTAACACTCCAAAGAGAAAGGAAAACTTGAAATCGCATCATATGACCCCTTTAAATCTTTTGGCATTTTATTATATAATGTTTTTTTTTCTGGTCAAATTTGATTTATATACATATATTACAACATGCTGAAAGACAAAAGGTGAGACGCCATGGCTGGTTCTTCAGAAATGGGTCAGATTTGAGATGTAAAATATATCTAAGTTTAATTTTTTATAACATCTATATAGACAATATATTTTATATAACTAATTTTGTTTAATAAAAATTTTGTTTAAAATATTGTGGATTAAAAAGTAATTAAGAGTCGGTATAACATCCAAATTGTTTCAGAATGTAAACTTTTTTATTATTAATTTCTTTTAAAACAATATTAACAATATGTTAAAGCTTGTTGTGATGGTATATGTACACAGAAGAATAAAAGAGGGAAAAACAAGCCATACATAATTAACTGTGCAACATCAACTCGCTGAACTGACAAACAGAAAGCTTTACGTCCCCCCAAAGTAAGACACTTCAATAATTAATCTGTTACAAAATACCTGTTTTTACTCTCAACTCATACACTGTATAGAAATTTATCTTCAATCTATTTGACATCTTATAAAATAAACAACTATATTTTTCTAAACATTTTTGTATATCTTATATTACAATATCTTCCATGTATTTTCTGCAGAGTATCAGCAGAGATGGCGGTTTATACCAGGTGTCATTTTCCGTCTCTTCCCCTCACCTGGTAGAATATAAATGCATTGATAATCTCACCTGTTCAGGTAACACATATAATACACTCACACAACACACACACACTCACAAATCCATGAGGCCTAAAACCTCATCAGAACAGACACTTTTGGGGAGAAATTCAGGCCAGAGAGAGAGAGAGAGATAGCACAAAGCAAAAGTCATAAAGAAGGGGAAAAGAATAAAGTGCAGTCTCCACAACCAGAGCATAGTTTTACAGGATGAAGAGAGAAAGATGATGAGAGAGTCAGTACAGTTTTCATCTACCATTCACAACCCAATCAATGAACACAAAGAAAAAACATCTGCATGTCTGCAAAACAATCAAACCTTTAACTCAAGAAACATTTGAGACTAAAATATTTCATGAAAACACCACAAATGGGCATTAAATGAAGGGCGAAGCAGCTAATTTTTATTCAAAGGACTATGCACACTCTAAAACGGCAATCACAATGGCAACTGGCTTAAGTCGCAACCTTTGGATTTATTTGTCCTACTCATTTTGAAATTAATGTTTGCAAATGTTTACTACCCTACAGGAAAATCCAGATTAAACTGCTTTTGGAACATGGAAGTCATTTTATAGCTCCTCCAAAAACTAGCTTGAGTGCCATAAGCTGGTAACTGGTTTGTTGCTGGTCTTAGATGGTTCTATCAGTTTGGACCATCTAATGACCACCTAGTAACCAGCTTAGATCAGATACTGTATTCTAAAACACATCTACCATTTTGAGATCAATTCTAAGGTAGACTAACCTAAGATTTAGAGTTATATCTGACTCAAAGTGTAGTTTCTCTTATGTCTAGAGACATAAAGAGCATTTGTGAGACCCAAAGGTAATCTCAGAGCAGCAGAAGGTGATAAACGGGAGGCACTGATGCAGAACAACCTGGTATGTCATACTCTGAAACACAGTATCTGAAAGACAAATACACCAAACATCTTCCTCGTCTTCTCTAGTGCGACTCCAGGGAGGCAGAACAAAATGCTGAGATTAATCAGTTATGTGATTCACAAACCTTTGAAAACATTTAGAAATGGTTCAGATGGGCAGGCTTGGGGACACCTGGGGACGTAAATGAGCTCTTGGGAATGGAAAATTTGATATTATGTCAAAAATAATCTCTGGAGTGCTTCTTTTGAGTGTAGTTTGATCTAAAACATCGGATTTGATCTAAAGATTAACAAGCTAAACACCTGAGAGTCGGGAGTTTCACACTTTCTATACATGACTGAAGGAATGTCGAGGATCTTTTTATACAAAAATACTTTCTGTTTTCAATCAAACAACACATTGGCTTTTACTAATACTAAGTGTTTCTTGCTAATACAAGAAAACATACCTGACTAAAAACAGAAATCTCTTCGATAAGTATAAATTACACATTCTTGTTTTCCGATTTGCATTGCACAACATGCAGAAGGGCACATGATTTTAGACTGTCTTCAACAGAATTTTCTTAGTTTTAAAAAAATAAAATAATCAGCACCAGTCTTTAAATGTGCAATGTGTGACAGGACAGCGGAAAGTGCAGCTTGAAGTCCCAGCTAGAAAAAAAAAAATGAAATGATTTTCCAATAGTCAGATTTTTTCCCTGTCCCAATAGTCTTTAAGTGTTCACAACTTGCGTGTCTACATCAACTCCCCAAAAATAATTAAAAAAATGTCATGGGAAAAATAAAAAGTAAATAAAAAGTGTTTTGTTTACTAATATTTGCGTTGTATTTGTGAAACACTTTGCCCAAGTTACAGGCAGATGAGAACATTTCCATTTCTGCAGCCCTGACATTATGATTGTCTTCAATCATTCAACCTGTCATTATTTTATATCTTCATTTTTGCAGTTTAACTGCTGCGGCACTTGCGCCCACCACCAAAAAACAATCACAAAGTCCCTCTTCTACGAAGCATAAATTAGACAGAGCTTCATCCCTGTGTAATACTGAAACTAAATATTAAAGCACATCTGTTGTGCTCATATTGACATCAAATCAATGTAGATTTACTGTGTGGACATGCGGACCACAAGCACGGCTGAAAACTTAAAGAACTGTTCGATCAGGGAAGCCAACGTGCTTCTCATGAGCAGCTATGTTTAGATGCTGACCTAAATATGAAATAAAAGTACTGAAATATGATGATCCGGAACCCAATATGTGCAGAAACTATATGTACAGTACAGTGGATCGAGAAACAAAGAGTAACAGGGATTGAGTTGAACTCAGCAGTAGGAAAGTTTGCCCTAGTGCGAACTTTTAAAGTGTTCTTAAATATTTGAAATATACATTGTGATTCAAGTTTCTTTACGTGGGGGCGAACCTGCTCTGCACATGATAACAGAAAGCCAATTTATTTATTTTTTAAAATATATTTGGGTCTTTGCTGAATTATGCCCAGCTCCTCCCATCAGCTCACACACACATGAAATATTATGCATGAAAAACAGTTCATGACCGTGTATTTTTCTTCTTCTTGTTGGGGCGATTTCTCTTTTAGTTAGTATTTTAGTATGCGATTGAGGGCAGAACACACGCAGCAGAGTTTAAGCTCTGTCAAGGCATTACTTGGGCATTCATTGATTTTGTCTTATTTGTGTATGTTTGTGTTAAAAAGTCCAGATAACTGTAACATTACAGTACCAAAAACCCTCCACGGCTTTCTGTCCTTTACGTATCGATCAAAGTGCCTGCTTGACTGCTCTGTGACCTCTGTCTCCATGAATAACAGATGGATCACACCCCTGCAGGCTCTTCCTACGTATCCCAGCATCCAGTACAGTCCAGGCCAGGCAGAGTCCTTGGGCCTTGTGGTGTTATCACCATCATTTGCTGTCATGGGAACTTTGAGGGACTTTGGCTTTCTCGATTTTGGTTTGGCTCGCTCGTGAGCCTTCCCCTGAGCCGAGAGAGTCCCTTCCCATCATGCCTTTCTGAGCTAAACGCTCAACGTGCTTTCCCGGCAACCTCTTGGCTTTTCCAGGTGGCGGGGCTACCGTGGGAGAATGTTTCTGTAGTCCGACAGGTTCCCGGACTGTGAGTGATGATGCTGTTGTTGTTGTTGCTGCTGTTGTGGCTGTACGTATCCCACAGTACTTTGCTGCGGAATGCTATGGGTGTGGAATAAGGCCTGAGTGGGAGCACTGTGAATCAGACCCTGAGGCTGCATCTTCAAGAGAGAAAAAGATATTTGGTTCCAGAATGTTTTTGAGGCATAATAAGGTGTCCGATTCCTTCATATGAATCAGACAACATGATTCAAGACTATATGATTCAGATGATGACGAAAAATAACTCTAAATCTGAATCACAAGGAATCAAATTTGTGTTTGTTTACCTGAAAGAACTGCTGAGGTTGTTGTAGTGGTAAGCTGTGTGGGGCAGCCGACGGGTGAGGCGTGTAGGTGGGCGTGGCCTGATGGGTGATGAAACTATTATGGGGGATCATGATTGGTGAGGTGAAGACGGGGGAAGGGACAAGCACAGCGTTGCAATTCACCTGCTGCACAGGGAAGGAAGGAGCCATCATCTGCTGGTCCAGAGGATATCTGTAACACACAAACATTATTGGTGAATTTTGAATAGTGTGCTAGCATACTACTCATACTATTTCTGTTATGACACAAATAGTAAAAGTAGTATGCTCTTCCAAATTTAGCCTACCATTCGGGTCTATGACTTTACGTTCATTTTGAATGGGGCCATCATGCACACTAACACTCACTTGGTTTGTTGAATAGTCGAGCTGCATTGGGAAGACTGGGCCCCCCCATTGCTGTCTGGTACAAGCGTCTGCATTGGTTGGTTTAGTAGCATCCTACCAATCCAAAAACACTCTGCATGATCTTACTGATCAATTCAGGGAACATGTTTGTTACAATCACACATTCTGTAATATTACCAAATTCAGCCAATCAGGAAGCTCCCTCACTCTACCAATCAGAAAATGCCTCTCATTCTGTTGTCATTCAGTAGAGTCATCATGACTAAATTAGATCATTACTACTAGTATAATGGATCTATTGTAACAGCCACATAATGGTTATTTTTTGCTAAAATGGTTCAAATATCCTTATAATCTGCTGTTCCAATCAGAGATATTGTATTAGCCTCTAGATTGTTTTCTTCCGATTTCTAGAATATAATTACCAGAATATAAATGTCTATCTGATTTGAGCCATTTGAATTTAGAGGTTTTACAGTTAGTATATTATAAAAAGACAAGCAGCAACACAAATGATCGGCACAGAAATTCTGTCTGATTTTTTGGGGATTTGTCTGTCCAGACCAGGAGTAGGCGAGTTCGGTCCTGCAGAGTTTAGCTCCAACCCTGAAAATAAACCCTCACCTGCCTGAAGCCTTAGTAATCCTGAAGACATTGGTTAGCTTGTTCAGGTGTGTTCGATTAGGGTTGGAGCTAAACTCTGCAGGACAGCGGTTATCTAGGACAGAACCTGCTTACCCCTGGTCCAGACCAATGCATAAAAAAATGGGAGACAGGCTGAATGTGCAAGGCTTGGCAAGGCTTCAAGACAGGCTTGAAGTGCAAATTCACTCTCTAGGCTCTAGCTGTAGTTAGTGCTTTAGATTAAGGTTAATTCGGGTTAAATCGGGATTCAAGGAATACTGTTTTGGACTCCAAGTCTCTACTATTTTCAATGGAGAATATTATCTCAACAGCTGTTTATAAGCACTATTTATTCATATCACACATTTAAGCTATGGTTTAAAAAAATCACAGTGTACACAACATTCTCTGGACTGAAGGTATCCCGGATACCAATATTTTAACAACTCATAAAAGATGAATCACTGTCTGGGTAAGGATAAAGGTTAGGATCCAGATTTTTCAGGAGTACTGAACCGAATTTACACACTAAATATTTGTCTTAGTATGAACAGGCCTTTACAATGTTCTTCTCCCACAGTAAACAGTGTTTTTCTGTCTGTTAAGGTGTGTTGTTACCGTAGCTGTCCGTCTTGGCTGTAGTCTGTGTGTCTTTGGCAGTGTGTGTCGTGCTGGTTTCGGTGTCCGTGGTTGGGTGAGAACATCACTGGGTTGCTATAGAAGGGTGTGGTGAGACTGGTGTGTGTCTGCATTGGAACACTGACGGCCTGCATGTGTCCAGTCTGAACCAGTCTCTGCTGCCCCTAAACACACACAAACAAGACATCCATAACTGTAGGAGTCACATACATAATTTGTATGCGTGTGTAATTGTGTGTAATGTGTACCTGAGCAGATGAGCTACTGGGCTGTTCTCTGAGCAGTGTGTGTGATGAATGTGAAACACAGTGTTGAGGGTGGGTGCTGTGTTGGGACGGCCTGCCTGGACCCTGCTGCTGCAGACCAGAACTGGTAAACTCTCCCTGTATCGGCTGCTGGAGTGACATCTGCAAACACAGAGATCCAAACACACTGTTTAGAACCAGACAGTTTAGTTAGAAAAATAAAGTCAGACTCCAAAACAAACTTCCCCTCTGAATGCAGTAGCCTTTTTCCACAGAAAAGGAATATTGTATAATTACACTACAGTTCAAAAGTTTGGGATAAGTAAGATTTTTTTTAGGGATGCACCGATACCACTTTTTCCAGTACTCGCCCGATACCGATACTTTTATTTTTGGTACTTGCCGATACCGAGTACCGATACCAATATTTTTATTGCATTTGTACATTTTTTAAATATTGGGTACAGAATCTGTTGTTCTGTTGTCGGTGTTTCTTTGTCTGAATATGGCGCTTATCACATGCGGTGTGGTATCGGCGTTTTGTATCGGGGCATTTTAACGAGTACGAGTACAGGAGCTCAGTATCGGTATCGGTGCATCCCTAATTTTTTTTAAATTAATATTTTTATTTAGCAATGACACACTAAATTGTTCAAAAGTGACAGCAATGTCATTTATAATGTTACAAAAGATTTCTATTTCAAATAAATGCAGTTCAAATCAATGCTATCCATTCATCAAAGAATCCTTTAAAAAGTATCACAGTTTCCACAAAAGTATTAACTGTTTTCAACATTGATACTTATAACAAATGTTTCTTGAGCACTAAATTAGCATATTAAAATTGATTAGAAAAGCATATGATTTCTGAAGGAGTATGTGACACTGAAGACCAGAGTAATGGCTGCTGAAATTTCAGCTTTTTGCCAATAATAATGCTAAATATATTAAAATAAAATTAACAACGGTTATTTTAAACTGTAATAATATTTTACAATATAACTGTTTCTACTGTTTTTGATCAAATAAATTCAGCCTAGGTGAGCTTCTTTCAAAAACAATAAAAGAAATCTTACAGCGATGTATATATTTCTTCTTCTTTTTATATCACATTTTCTATGTTTTCTATGTATTCTGTCTGACCCAAATTTGCACAAATAAAGATAATACTGCATGTTTATGACTATGTGCAAGTACCTGTAGATTAGCGAGTTGTAGTTTCTCTTTAATGTCGTGCAGCTCTTGTTGTTGTGTTTTGATGTCGGCCTGTAGGATGCGTGTCCGCTCCTCTAGCTGCTCTTTCAGCTGATGCATGACGCCTAACTGAGGCTGCTGGAATCCGTACAGAGACTGTGTCTGCAAACCACATGCACACAGAACATTGAGAACACACACTCAAATATACAAAAGGAGTCAAGAGCTGCCACACATAGCCCTTTCCTACCTTTTGGAAACTGTGAACTTCTCTCAAAATCGGCCTTTGTTTCCACTAAGCCGAATGAAGACGTGACTGACTACATTATTCCATAACATTTTGAAAAGCTATTTTAGAAAACAGTTTGGTTCAGAGTTTTTAAAGCCACTGCGAGCTGCAGTGGCCAGAAGTTATAACAAATAAAATGTATAGAAATCAACTGACAGTACATACACAAACTTCAGATAATTTTATTTTAGATGCACAAGGAAAATAAAGTGGCTGCATTTTTTTATATATGTTGAGGACACCATTATAGCCCTGGCCTCTGATATTAGCAGTCCTTGGTTTTAGACCAGCAGGTTTTAGGGGCCAGTGCAAAAACATCACATAACATTTTCAGCCCTAAACTGCCATTCCTGCAGCAGAAATATGTGGAAAGTTTCTAGTTTGGGCACCGTCACCCAGTCGGTGGTAAAATGTTGACAATCTTTCTATTCTAAGATTACAACAAACACTAAACTGTAGCTTTACTTACACATGGAGAGAAAGAGAGACAGAGGGAGAAGAGGGGAAAGAAAGAGAGCAACTGGGGGAGACTGACCATAGTGGAATGCTGACTGCAGGAGGGGGAGAGTGACGTGGGTTCAGAGGAGCTCTGCCTCTGAATCAGGGCCTAAAACAGAGAGACGAAACATTCAGATACACACACAGACTCTGATAATACTAACACACACACTACCGTACAAAGGTTTGGGGTCTGTGCGATTTTTTTTTTTAAAGGAAATTGATTTTTTATTAATTGAGGAAGCATTAAATTGATCTAATGTAAAGTAAAGATTTTTATTTTGTTACTAAAGATCTCCATTTCAAATAAATGCTGTTCTTTTGAACTTTCTATTTATCAAGGAATCCTGAAAAAATCATCACACTTTCCACCAATATATTAAGCAGCACAAGTGTTTTCAACATGCTAATAATAAGAAATGTTTCTTGAGGACCAAAATCAGCATATTAGAATGATTTCTGAAGAATCATGTGACATTGAAGACTGCACTTATGAAGGATAAAGATGAAAATGATAATGAGCATGTTTGCACCTTTGATCCACTATGTGGCATTCTGCTGGAACTCTTCTCAGGACCAATGGAAACAGACTGCCGTGACGAAGTGCACGCTTCTGTGTACCTCACAGATGAGTTCGCTATGGACACAGACACACGCAGTGATCAGACATGCACATGATCACCTGATGCACAATTGCACCTCATAAGTGCAGAGTGTTAGCCGAGGTATGTGTTTGTACTTACATGCAGAGTCAGACAGTGCTGTGTGTGATGATTTTCTAGAGCTTTGTGATGACACTGATCGAGCGCTGCTGATTCTTTCCCGTGTAGCATCCAAAGGAGGACACATATCCAAAAACACTTCCTGCCCCTACACACACAAAACACATTAAAGGGATAGTTCACCCAAAAATGAATATTTGCTGAAAATTTACTCATCCTCAGGCCATCCTAGATGTAGATGGGTTTGTTTCTTCATCGGAACAGATTTGGAGAAGTTTAGCATTACATCACTTGCTCACTAATGGATCTTCCGCAGTGAATGGGTGGCGTCAGAATGAGAGTCCAAACAGGTGATAAAAATATCACAATAATCCACAAGACTCCAGACGATCAGTTCATGTCTTGTGAAGTGAAAAGCTGAGTGTTTGTAAGAAAGAAATCTATCATTAAGGCATTTTAACTTTAAACCGTCGCTTCTGGCCAAAATATCAGTCCATAATAATACATCAAAAGCGATATATTTGTTCAGAAATGTTTTTGCTTGTAAACAGTGCTCGATCTGTGCATATTTCTCCCCCGATTCAGACAAGATTAAAGGAGAAGCAATTTTAAAGACAGAAGTTAAAAACGTCTTAATGATGGATTTGCTTATTACAAACACGTATTACAATGCTTCATAAGTAGATAAGTAATGGAGTTGTGTGGATTACTTGTGGATCATTGTGATATTTTTATCACCTGTTTTGGATCTGACGACACCCATTCACTTCAGAGAATCCATTGGTGAGCAAGTGATGTATTGCTAAATTTCTTTAAATCTGTTCAGATGAAAAAACTAACTCATCTACATCTTAGATAAACTATTCCTTTAACATGAAAAACTATTCAGTAAGCAAATAGGAATGCAAACAGTAAAGCATTGTGTGTGTTTCCTGGGCACGTGTAGCACCTTGATTGAAGATGTTGCCATATCAGATGAGCTTTCCTCCAATCCAAACTCTCTCCTTCTCTCTGCTCGGACTTCAGCATAGCTTTAGATAGAGAAAAACATATGTTTTTACTTTTTTTTTATTCTATCAACTATGTGTACTGGTATATATGGTTTATGAGGACACAAATGTGTATAATGACATGGGTACTACAACGTAAACATGGTTTATGAGGACACTTCCTGTGTCCCGGTAAAACAACAGGCTTAAAAAAACATACAAAACAGTGTTTTATGAAATTCAAAAATTGCCAGTAGTTTTCTGTAAGGGGTAGGTTTAGGTGTAAGGCGATAGAAAATTCAGTTTGTACAGTATAAAAACCATTATGCCTATGGAGAATCCCGTAAACCACAAATGCAAGTATGTGTGTGTGTGTGTGAATTTTGAAGTCCAAACTATTTGTAGTAACACAAACTAACCACTAGATGGAAACAGAAGCTTAAAAACAACAGAAACAATTAATTGAGCTGACTAGTTCAAGCATATTAACTACTTTTGAAGTAGTTATGAACAGGCATTTGCACACAGATATCTGTAAGTTACAAATATTATTAATCCTAAAATATTTTAAAGTGTTTGAATGTGTTTGTGTGAGCATTTTTTAAAGTATTTATGTTTATATGCATATAAATGTGTGTATGTACTTACCAGTGTGTGTGTGGCATGCACGTTCTTTCCATATACATGTATAAATGATGCTTGTGTGTGTTTTACCTGACCACACTGTGTGTGCAGACGATAAACTCTGGTTTGGAGTTCCACTGGTGGTATGTGATGTAATAGTGTGTCTGTAGCCAGATCCACTGCTGCCCTTTAGTCAGAAACCGATAGTAACAGGACTTTCCTTTCCCACACTGCATCACTGCAATACACACATGCAGGCACTCAAACACACAAGATCAGTAGTCTCTAAAAATGATTTGAAAGCTTCTTACAGGCTCTTTCATCTTTCCTGTTAGGGGCATTTTCAGCTCCTCTGTGATTCACACAAACAGAACAAAATGTCCAAGACAGTACACTGACCTAGTTTTAAAACAGAAAGAGAGTGCGGGAGAGATAACACTCACATTGTTTATGACACTGAGCAATCAGCTCCAGGTCGTCCACATGGTAGTAATCATAACCCGAGGTCCCCAAAACCTCAAACGGCAGGTACCCAATGATAGGAGAGGCCCTGCGAACACACATACACACACACACACACACGTTCAGTACATACTATACACTTCTATTGAGCTGCTAACCTGCACACGCACAATTCCAAGCATTGGCCCATTTTACTAAACAAGAACTCAATCTGTAACACCCATTAAACTGGCTGTGTACTTTCTCTTGAGACTAAAGGAATGAATCATGGGGGCTCAGATGAACCTGCAGACACTCATCACCATGGGAACTGCTGAAATAAGCAAGATGGGTATCCATAGCCTGCCTGAGTCATGTATGCGTCTGTGTGTGTAAATACAGAGGCATGTAAGCCTAACAGTGTAGTGGCGAAAATATTTTTTTGAAGAAGTCTCTAATGGTCACCAAGCCTGCAATTATTTGATCCAAAATACAGTACAACAGTAATATTGTGAAATATTATGTCAATTTAAAATAACTGTTTTCTATTTTAATATATTCTAAAATGTAATTTATTCCTGTGATGGCAAAACTGAATTTTCAGCAGCCATTACTCCAGTCTTCAGTGTCACATCATCTTTCAGAAATCATTCTAACACACTTTTTGCTGCTCAATATTAGGTGCTTCTTATCAGAGTCAATGTTGAAAACTGCTGTGCAGCTTAATAGTTTTGTGGAAACCATTAGGGATGGGCGATACCTCTTATTTTATTTTCGATCCGATACACCGTAATTCTTTGATGAATAGAAAGTTCAAAAGAGCAGCACTTAGCTAAAAAAATAATAAATATGTAACATTATAAATTTCATAAATTTAATGCATTCTTGCTGTATAGAAAACTTTAGAACGGTGTGTGTGTGGGTGTATATACAGTATATATGTTAACTAAAAAATACACATATATATACAGTATATACATATGTGTTTGTGTTAAATACAAATGTTAAATATTAATGGCTTAATGTTCAGAGAGAGTAAACTATCTGTACGTTTTATAGGTTGATTGTCTCAAAACAGTATTTGTTCTCAACCGGCTTGACACAGCAATACTGGTTCAACCAACTGCATGAGTTTGGGGACGGGACTATCTGTATGACTAACCATTGGAATACACAGGGAGTGTTTGGGAAACCTGTTTGAAAACCACAATATTTTCAGTGATGTATAAATTACACACTTCCCCTTTAAAAGAGAGAGTCTGACAAGACAGCTCAAATGTCCAATTATAGCTCTGTAGGGAACAGGAACATCCAGTACTCACACACACACACAGTTATGTAACTCTCTGGGGGTCACAAACGCCTCCTGAGTAAACAATCTCTATCCTGAAATTTATGAATGGTCACAGCAGAATGAAAGCATCATATTAAAATACGAGTGTGAGAACTGATTCAAGCACATGCACATCTGATGACATCCTGATGACAAGTCTGAATTAGCAGATGTAAGTGGGTCAGTGACTGATGAATGTATCAAACAAATGACATAATCAGAAAGAGTCATGATTCAAATGGACCAAAATGGGTGTATCATAAAAGACCATGCAGAATCACAACATCAGAGGAGTCGTTTGCATAATGAAGCGGCGTTTGACTCACCTGTGATCTAAGAAGAGAAATTTCCATTCCAGACTGTGTCTTGATGTGAATTCATCACACACATCCTCCACGTTGCACAGATCCTTCAACACACACACACACACACACATACACAATAAGTCTGTCCTTCCTTTGATGTAAGGATGAATGAAAGCAGTATTTGCACAATAATGATTGTGTTAAAGTGCATGTGAATCATTGTTTTTGTGTTTGTGGGCGTAGTTCCACTGTTACCTTCAGGAACTGAGGGGTCACAAGTCTCACTGTGGCTATGAGACAGATCTGCTCCTCTAGTGAGGACTGCAGCGTGCGTGGGAATGCCAGCTCATAACCGTTACATGAGGACAGAGGCACTGCGACACACAGAAAACATGTTCCGTTTAAAAAAATCTTGCAATGACCAGATTTTAGAAATCAAGTATGAATCTTAGCACAAGGTATATTTTACATATATTCTACTCTATTCTAGTGGAAGGATGGCACTGAATGAATTTAAAATGTATTTTTTTCTTTCTATGTTTATACTTATTTAATTTCTATTTCTATTTCTACAATCTAAGAAGCTGAAGTTGTATTCTTTATATAATTGTGTATATAACAAATACAAATCTTGAATCTTGAAATAAATAAAAAATACAAAGATGTTTTTATTATATTTTAATGTAAGAAAAATAATATATTGAAAAAAATTAAAATGTCTGTAAAAATATTTATATATATTTAAACTATTATTATGCTCTTTTACAAAGTCTTGATTTTGTTTTGATGGTGTACTAGAACAGGCTCTCATACTAGGTTGTTCGAAAAGCATAATTTTTCACATATAAAAATAATAATTGAAAAAGAAATACAAATATTTATTTAAATATATATAAAATAACAAAACAAAACAAAAACTTAGCATAGTTTTGGCCGTGGCTTGATTGTTTTCATGTCTATTTAAATTTCAAGATTCTTCTCGTTTTCACATTCCCTATTAGTGCAAATGAAGAAACGGACCAATAATTCCAACATAGGCAAATGCCTCCTCCTCATTAAATCTCTTCCTCAACCAAATGCACAGAAAGAAAAACAAATGCATGTTCATTCCAAATGCTTGTTATCACAGCTAAAGCTTACTTCAGGAATCAAGTAATATAAAAATTTAACTATCCATCAATTATTAGTGTCTCTGTTTGTGTTGCATGTGGCTTGGAGTGATAAAAGTGACAAATAAAAACCCACCATTATTATGAAACTTGAAATCTCCAACAAATTTGACATATTCGTACGTGGGTGGTTCTTTCGGGTCAATGTTCCCCCTTGCTAAATGACAGCAGAACTCAACATGCGTCTCATCTGAAAGAAATAAAAGAAAAAGAGTGCACAGGGAGAGGAAAGAAACTGTTAGCTGCTGATATAACAGCAATTCAGTTTGTCAGACAAACACACAAGGTTAAGGCTAATGTTCTATTATGGCTGTGGCCCCAGTGTGACTTTGATGATTATCCTAAAATAGAGTACAATGACCTGACTGACTGTACAACAGTCTGTGTGTGTGTGTGTGTGTTTGAGAACAAGCAAGTGTAACCAGTAAAACAGAGGTGGTTCTGGTGATTAAATAAGATGATAAGTCAACAGTGACCAGCATCTCTCAGTATTGGTGAGTGTTTGTGTCTTAGGGATTGGGGTCAGGGTAAGAGATGTATGTGGGATTATCATGTATGTGGGAGTGTTGTAACAGATAATCTGTGTTACACTGCACACACAAGAGCCTCTATAATTAGCCTTGAGTGTAATCATAGAGCACCCTACAGCCACTACAGACAGCACACACTCACAGCACATTGCATACAACTGTGTGTGTGTGTGTGTGTGTGTGTGTGTGTGCATGGCAGTGTGATAGATTGTGTGCTGATCTGTGCATGCATGTATACTGTATATATACTCACTGCTGTTGAGTAGGTCCACAGCAGAAGGCTCCGTCAAGAGCATGTGTGATGACAGAAGTTTATACACCTCTCCGTGCTCTCGTTCTGGCAGGAAGTTCAAAATGTTCTGGTCCACCATATCTGACTGAGACACAGCAGCATCCATGACAACGTCACTCCTTACCCACTTCCATTAGTGCTACACAATGCACTACATTTCCCATAATACTAAGCACTTATGTACTACATAATTTCACAAGAATCCTAATTTTGAACAATATATTTTCACAAATAATTTTTTAAAATAATTTGAAATAGAAACATTATTATTATTAATAGTAGTAGTTGCAGCAGTAGTAGCAGTATTTATGGTTCGATAAAAATTACACCATCAAAATAAACCACCTTGTGGCAATGTTGTTACTGTTTCCTAAAACTATATCTATTAAAAATATTTTTCTGTACTGGACCCTTTTCACATTTCCGGGTTTCTCAGAAGTGGAAGTCGTCATAGTTGGGTAACTTCTATAGAGGTTAACCGGAGACTACATCAAATATTTTTTTTTTGTGTTTCCATTTGCACAAATAGCACTTTCAAAAATAGGAAAAAATAGAGAGAGATTGATAACGGCAATCAGAAGAGCGAACAATGTCAAATTTACCGTCACTCCCACAGATGCTGCATTATAAATGTACATAAGTTGTATTTTTTTTTTTTTTTATTAAAATGAGAAATGTGAAAATGTTAAAAGGGTCCAATGGAATAAAGTTGAAATAAATTTGAAATGTTGCCTTGGCAACTAACTGAAATAAACAAGTTAAAGTGTTAAAATGGTTAAAACTAAAACTGAAGTAAAATAAATAACATAGAATTTATATATATAGAATATATATATATATATATATCACACATCAAATAATATGTAAAAATAATAACAATTACTACAACTGAAACAAAAAAAATAATTTGAAAATATAAAACTAAAAGCTAATTCAAAATATTAATAAACACTATAATAGCACATAAACAATACTAAAACGGCCTTGTGGATAGAACTAGCTTTCTGCTGTTATTGGGACTGAGTTCCAATCCAAGCACCATCTTAAGAAAATCATAAGAGTATTAGCACAATCTGAGTAGTTCCATAATTGCTACACATGACCTTCAGAGCCACCTGAGTACAGCTTGCTCTGTTCCTCAATAACAAGGGTCTGCTAAGCCCTCCTCTCTGCTTAATAAGGCCAGAGTTTGATAGGTTTGATAGTTATGAAGCTATCTATCAGTATCATCATACAGCATTTGTGACTCACACACAGCAGGAACCGAACTAACGGTAAAGTTTGGAAGCAAATCTCATTAGACTGGCAGCATGTCATCACAGAATGAATGGATTTTTACGCATTTGCAGCATTAAGAAGAGAGGTACATTGATTCAGGTTTATGAAATACGTTTTTTTCTGTAGTTAAGTGAAACCACTTAACTGCCAATAACATGCCACTTCAATTGGGGGGACATTTTTCTGACAATTTCAGAAAATTTTCCATGAGGCACAGCAGTTGACATTTCATGATTTTCAGATACTGTACAAATACAAATAAAGGCCTAAAAAATTTGAAGCATTTACTAAGGACTGTTGTCAACAGCCTACAGAAAACCTGCTGTGTGGGGGCTGCCTTGTCTATGTTTAGAAAAACATGACAATTATATTACTAATAACAGTTTGTCAGACTAGTCATAATAAAACACAACATTCTCAGAGGTAATGAGTTCATTTGATGAAAAGTAAAGCACCAAATCAAGTTTTCTTGGATGCACTGAACTGGAGTTTGTTGTTTTGGAATCGCATCCTTTACTTACCGGCAGATGACCAATGAGAGACGAGACACTGTCAGATACATATATGATATTCCCATCTGTAGTAAGAGCTATTAGGAAACCATCCAATGCCTGTCATAACACAAAGAATGTTGTTTTGAATCAGCAGAAATTCTCATAATACACTGATGACAATGTTACTTTTGTTATTTAAGAAATAGTTCATCTAACAATAAAAATTCAGTCAGAATTGAATCATCAGTCTTTATTCAGTGAATGACTGAACTGAACTTTGAATATTTGGTCTTGTCCTCACACAACGTAATAATTGGGTATTTAATTAGATTTAATTTAATGTGCGAGAAAATGTATTCGTTTTCAATTTCTTTAATCAAAGCTGAGAAAGCTGGTTATTAAAACCTTGCTAGCTGCAGAGTGTTGTCTATCAGCCTCTTGAGGTTGCACAATTTTGTCATTGTTTTCTTTATGTAACGATAAATAAATGAAGGATTCCCCATCCCAAAACATCTTCCCACGTTGCTGCTTTTACATGCCTCTTATTGAACTTGTACCTTGGAAAATCTAAGACTGGGAACTGAGAAGAGCCAGAGGTTGTTTTTGAAAGGAAGTGTTCAAGTATGAATGTTTCCTTAATGCTGGATAATTCAAAATGCCCCATAAAAAGCTCAACTTCCGGTTTTAAGGCTATAGGAATGCGGTGTACCGGTCAGGCTGACTCTCTATATTAACATCCTGTATTTCTGCTACATGATTAAAGTTAAACTTATATGAGTTTCCTTTATTTGTAATGTGTGTTACTTTTTAAGTAGGCTCCACATTTATGCCTGAAGCAGTGCTATAAGGCTTTTCATAGCCTCGCAAAATACATGATGTCTTGACAGTATGGTACTTAAGAAATACAGCTGAAGTGTGGAGTATTCCCACAGGCCAATAGAAAAACTGAAGGTTGATGAAGCAGATATGACGGTTACAAGATTCCTTTACCTCCAGCATTAACTGGGTGAATTCCTCGTTGCTGAGGAAAGAAGGCTTCCAGTCCTGCCGGACCTCACAAGATTCTGTTTGCGCAGTGATCTCTGGAAAACATCAAACAGCAGGAAAATGCTGTGAGAACTTGATTGTGGAATTCTGAGAAAGGAACTGTGTGGACTAATAGGTTTGGATGGAATGGGTAAAAATGGAAAGAAATTTTAATCAAACAGTATGGAAGTCTGAGATTGGAAGTTGGAAATGGCACTGGGATTGTTTATAGGAGCAGTGAAATCTGCTGCCAGTAAACGTTCTGCTGATGGCCTGACAGCTGTGCCCTGGATTCAGACAGGAAATGGAACAGGGCCCATCACAGAGCAGCTCCTGGCACACAAAGGTGTTAGTAGTGATACTCCCAGGAGCTTGCAGAAGTTTGCAAATGCAAAAATAAATAAAAAATTATTCGGTTCTAACCAGAGTCCAAAATATGTGTAAACCCTGGCATCAAGGTTTAAATCAATTGTGGCAGTGATAATACGAACCTTGCTGATGTGAGGTGGGCGATTCAAATCAAATCAAACCGTCTACCAAACAAAATGGTATTTTATTCTAATGAGGTTTACCTCCCTGGAAAAATCAAGTTTATATGAATGCTTAAAGGTTTTTTTCCTCTCTAGAACTGCATGCGACCACACATATGCAGAATATTCCTTGCACACGCAAATATGAGGAACAAAATCATGATTCACGACTTCATGTTTTTGTGCCAGGTGCAGTTTCACTGAGAGATGATGTTTGCTCATGTCATGTATGACGTAGCAAGTGACATGAAAACCTGTGGTTTTTGTCAGAAATATGCATGGAAAAAACAGCCAAATCATTTAATTTAAATTGTTCATAAACATAATGCAAATACATGTCCTGGTTGATAATATTTATTATACACTTACAATATAATATAATATTTTATTTTATTAAAAATATTAAATGGCAGACAATTAAAAAAAAACATTTGAACCCTGGTTTTAGCACAGAGCTGGGTATCATTCTGGTTTTTGAAAATCATTTTTTCAAATTATCCATAATAAATAATATTAGCACAAAATAATGAGAGTGAATCTTAGGTTGGGAGGGGAAATTTGATATGTGTTGAACATAAACAACATAAATGTCCATCAAACTACATTTTTTCTTCCATCTGGTTAGAGACTGGGGGCCACTCTCAATATTTTAATGTGATGTTTCTCCCTCACCTTTCTGTTTCTGCAGGAAGTCAATGGTCCTCTGCAGGATGGTGGATTTGTCCATCTTGCGGGGGTGACCTTGACCCTGCAGCATTGTACACAGCTCTTTAATGAGAACATTGAACTGGTCTCTTCTCTTCTTCTCTGATTTATTACGGGACGCCCTGCAGAGAGAGAGAGATGGACAAAAAGCATGCATTAAAAATAAACGTACATATGTTGACTACACACGAACATATAAAATGGATTAAAACAGTTTTTAATTACATAGTTTTACTGATAATTTGGCCTTGAAACGACAAGACATCTTCAAAAAGGAAACGTCTGAATGCAATGACAGTGTTTGTGTATGATTTCTAATGAGAATCCCAGATAACGGTAATGAATTACAAACACGTCTATTACACACAGCCTTATCTCTTATATGCCTCAACAATTTTACAAATTTCAGTTCAATTACAATTGAGGATATTGATTCCAGCTAATGGTTTATATAAAGTCTCCAAATGAAAGATTACTCTCAGGTGTAAATGCTCTATTATTTCAGATGTTCCTGACACTTGGGAAACATTACCTATTGAGTAAAATTGCAATCACCTGTGCTGGTAACAGTCATTCTGTGGTGCACAATGTCATGCAAACTGACAAAAACATTGTTTTTGTAGTTGTATTGGCAGTTATAGCAAGAAGTACCAAAATTAATAAATTATATATATATATATATATATATATTTTTTTTTAAATTCCTTTCAACCCTTTCCATTATCTTCAATTTTCATTACTCTCCTTTTTTCTCTCTCTCTCAGCCCTAGACACTTTTTCTCAAGGAAAATCTATTGTATTGAGTAAAAGTGTGAAGAGCTTTTAGAGGTGTGATTGCTTAATCATGTCTGGACTCAATTACAGTTCACAGGTTTACAATCTAATGTGGGATCTTATTATTCAGCATATTGCACAATAATGTGTACTACAACTATAAAGAGCTAAACACAGACCTTTTTGCTTTGTCCTTCTCATCTTCATCCATTAAATCATCCACACAGCTGCCTGTGCTGAGAGGAAATCACAGAAAATTGTTTTTCTATTTAAAATAAATTTTTGGCACTATTAAAATCTCACAAAATATATAAAATAGCAAATTATAACATTATAAATGGACAAAAAACAACAAACATATCGTGATGTTAGTGTAGACTCACTCCCATTCCCTCCGGGTGGACGGACAAAGGCCTCCAAACTCCGAAAGGTTGTCCATGCTCACTCCTTCTCCCATTCAGGCCGTCTGGAAAGGCTGGCGTGTCCCATTCGTGTCTTCTACACTCGAAACACCCACAGAAATTCAAATAGACACCACACACTAACCACCCAATGCCAGTGGTTAGCCACTACTCACAAATCTCTGATAGCCAGCCACTGGTGTTACCCCACTAATGATTGGCAGCCAAGAGATGCTGCAGTTATGTTCTTACGGCTAGCCAGTCCTTAAATGCTTTAGTTAGTGATGGAAACAGCAGAACCTGTGGAGGAAAACAAAAAGGGTGTTTTAGTTGCCAGTTTTTTGTTGTTGCTGTATTTATGATTGTTTTTAGCCATGATTAATTTATTCTGTAACTGAAAGTGTCTGACAATGCTAAGTAGTACTGGGTTGGTCATGTGATCTTAACTTAAAAAAGCTTTTTATAGACTAGAGCCTCCTGTAAGTATATATATTATTAAATATATTTCTCTCTCTCTCTCTCTCTCTCTCTATATATATATATATATATATTTACTTTACATGGATTTTAGCTGACAAATAAACCAGGAGACCTGGGTGCAGGTTACATGGATAAAGAATACACATTGTTCATTTACATATACTACTGACACTGAAACTAAATAAAGCTGGTTAAAAATTTTTTATTGCATCTTTAATGCCTGGCACAAATCACAAAGTTTTATTTAACAATAATAAACAATATTGAAAGCATCATACAAGCAGAGCATTTGTTAATTGCCTTTTCGTGAAGCGGCAAATGGTTTTGTACATAATCAACAAAAAGTTTCGAATTAGTGATTTTTTTTTTATTAAACTGTATTTTTATATATTCAGTTGTTTACAAGTCTGGAAAAATGGAAAACCAACATTAATTAAATATTCTCTCTCTTTTTCTCTCTCCCTCTGTCAAATGAATAAACATTGGCACCTCTCCAGATACATTACACTTCACCAAAGCCAACAGAGATACCACATGCTGTGTGCTTCATGATCAAAAATCAGTCAAAAATCAAAGCATACAGTTGAAAACTCTGTGATGATTCATGTTTCACAATTATTATATTAGTTTAAAAAATATATTTTAGATAATTACAACTGAAAAGTCCCATCCAGACTTTTGCTTTAAACATATTATTCCCGACAGCTAAAATGATACATTTAAAAGTTCAAACTATTCACTGATATGAATAAATATTAAAGCAAATTATTACTTTGAAATGTGATCTTTCTTGGGTAAATGTATTTTTTTAAGGGTTACAATTTCCCCCCAACCACTGTTACACTGATTGTAACACTCTGTCTTGTATTAAAGGTGCTGTATGTACCTTTTTTTTTTTACTCTACATAAAAATACCATAATATGTTTGCAGATATTTAAGAAACATGCTAAGTTAACATACTTGTTTATCTGAAAAACAATGCTACAGTCAGTTATTCGCCTTTGAAAATGTGCGTTCCGGGCCGGAATGTCTGTCTCTGTTTTGGTTTGTGAAACCCGCCCACTGCCAGTTTACCCAATTGTATTTCGGGACCCCGGGTTGCCAGGTGGCGGAAAACACAGCGTATTTAATTTCATTCATCCTCAAGTGCGCTGGTTCCTGTTGGTGTTGTCAATCTGGCAACCTACGTGTGCCTCAAGTCTGAGAGGAGGGGCCGGGTGAAAAAAAACCTCTCCAATATTTTTAATTTGGACTGCAATACCTAGTTCAACCACTCGGTGTCAATCCTACATACAGCACCTTTAAATTTAATATCATGATGTAATCTGTAGGTGTATTAAGGTATAGTTACTTAAACCATACATACAGATGTTTCTTAAACCAAAAGACTGCAGGTAGATTTGTATTAAAAAAGTAAAAGGTTACAATCTCCCCCGATCCGATCTCCTTTACTTTCAAAGTGAAAAAGTGTAGTTATCAGCATGCTATGTAATATTGCGAATATGGAATATGTTTGATAAAACTGATATATTTTCATCATTCTTTTACCCAACTTGCCTCTTGCTTGCTTAATGAACACAGTCACAGGAATCTGTTATTGTACCCGTTCATTATCTAGAGCTACACACTCATTCAATAACTGCCTGCAATTGTTTCTCACGCCAACCTTTACAATGATGAAGATTTTGGGTGTATCAGAGCTGTTTTAGATCAAGTCTAATTATATACAAATCAGCTGTAGATCTCCACCTTAGTCCAGTTAATAATCCTTCTGCTTTGGACTACGTCGTAAACGGTTTGAGCGGAGGTGCTGCTTACTCATTTTATCAGTTTCTGCATTAAACATGTTTAATGCAATATCCGATGACAAAGAAATTTACTGTGCACATGAAGTATTGTGTTGACACCTATGCTTAAGCGTTAATGCAACACTGGCACAACCCTCAGGATATGCTGCTTCGGCAAGGAGTGCCATGACCTAGAAACATCTTTTACGCCGAGCTCTTTTCATAATCCAACACAACAGACAAGAATAAAGAGGAAAAAGTGGGAGAGAGATGAGTAGTTAAAGAGTGTATGAGAGAGTGAAAGGAGAGTGTGTGAATTGTGTGTGTGCACAAATTATCGAACAAGATCGGATACTGTAAACACCACAAAAAATAATGTTCTTAATCAATAGTGTTGTCATACGTTGAGTAGGCTTCAGCATCCACAAGACACTACAGAATAAGCAGTTTGGAGAATGGATGGATGGAGTATTTTTGTCTTGTTTTCCTGCAAAAATTACGGAAGTTCCAAGGGGCCATGCATTATAATTTTTTTCCTTCTTGTTTTCTCGTGATCACGACTTATTTTTCTCGTGATCACAACATAACAAAAGTTGTTATCTCGTTATCACGACTTATTTTTCTCGTGATCTCGACATAACAAAGGTTGTTCTCTAAGTTACACAACTGAGCCAACAGGTGGCAGAACTATTGATGGGGAGTTGAATACAATATCCACTATACTGTATGTGTTTGGGACAGAGGACCTTCTTCCTGATCGCTATACCGTATTGGCCCGAATATAAGACGACCCTGATTATAAGACGACCCCCCTTTTTCCAGATGTACCTTTTGGAAAAAGGCTTTTTAAAAACCAAATCTTGTTTTTTCTCAGTAAAACACATTTTGTCTTCAATTATTATCATATTGCATATTTGTCCTATTTTAATTTTTGTTTTGAAAGTATGGTAAAAACTGGTAAAATGTACCAACAATCACATTTAAAAAATATACACTTTTTGATATACCATTTAAAAAAAAAAAAACAGGTAGCCCATCTGAATTAGAACATTTAGGCTATCCATCTATTAGTAGCCTACCAAAATCTTATTAACAGTAGAAGTTTAATCTTACTGTAGTCTTCAAATCTGGGTACTGTCTTACGTTTTAAAATCACAAAGGGAGTTTGGTCCCATCAGGCTAACCTGACAGTCACGACTTGTGCAGCTGTGAGGTTTTCTTTTTCTTTTGTTTTTACTCGCGATCTTTACAACACGCACACTCGTTTTATACGTATTGGCACCACCTAGTGTTGTGGGTGTATTATTGACATGTCAAAGTCTAGACCCTGAATATAAGACGACCGCGTTTTTTCAGATGTATTTCCAAGAAAAAAACATCGTCTTATATTCGGGACAATACGGTAATTTGTGCAGTTCATTACTGACATTTAATTAACTTATAAATGTTAAATGCTTGAATAAATATGATAATTTTGCTTGAAATTGTATCTGTTATCTTACGTTATTACTGCTGCATGACTCATCACAGTTTCTCATTTACAATGACGTAGGCTTGTAATGTGCATCTTTCTGATTTTTAATCTTTATCGTTAATAAATGTATATTAATAAGAAATGTGATTTACATGTGTGTATAATTTAGTTCAATGATGTTATACAGTGTTGTGGTCTAATGGGTCTAATCTTTTATATTTTCTACATTTCTCTGTAAACCGCACACACATAACAGCATCTTAAGCTTGTAACTCACATGATAATCACAGCCTATCCTATATGACTAATAAAAATCACAAACAAATTATTATAATTTATTATTATATATATCCTAATTTTATTTCAAACGAACGAGGAAAATAAAGTGAGTTGAATCCAAGCAGCTTAAGATTTTTAGAATAGGCTTCTCTGCATTCTTCTGAAGGCGCTCCACCTGCGCTTGCGGTGAATGCAATTTGTTGTTGGACCATTTAAAGGGGTCATATGATGCGATTTAAATTTTTCCTTTCTCTTTGGAGTGTTACAAGCTCTTGGTGGATATAATACAAAGAATAGTGTTATAAATGTACATAAATAAAAAATAAAAAAACAAATATGAAAAACTTTCGAGGATTTACGATGCTGAAGACAGTTAAACGCGTCATCACAGTCTTGTGAAAAGGGTCCATCAGTGTTAAAAGAACCACTTTTGTTGTGTCGAAATCATGAGAAAATTAAGTCGTGATCACGAGAAAACAACATTTGTTATGTCGAGATCACGAGAAAACTATTTTTTTTATATCGAGATCACGAGAAAACAAGAAAGAACAAGAAAATTATAATAATGCATGGTCTCGTAGAACTTCAGTAAAAAATATCTAAACATCTTCAAAACAACATACATTTCTGTAGTTTCAAAGAATATATCTTGAAGTAAATTGCTTTTTCTTACCATGTTGAGATAAAAACTACTTGTCAATGAGGCAAAAAAAATTTCAATTAAAGACAAGCAAGTTTGCTTCTCAAATATTTCTTGTTTTAATTATATTTATATTTATAAAAGCAAGACAAGACATGATTCTGATTGAGAAAAACAAAACAAAACACAAATGATCCCTGACAGAATTTCATCAGTCATTAGGAGGACTACAACATAAGCTGGTCATACATTTAAGTTAGTTATTATCATATGAATTTGTCTTGTTAGGAGGCTCTCTGCAATTAAAGGCCTATCTTAGCAAGCTCTGTGTATTTTTGGCTTCTTGTTTGGACACTTGCCAGTAACGTAAGTCAATTTGGTAAGATGCACCGCCTACACCAAGAATATAAATGAAGAAATATAATACAAGCAGAAATATAATACAAACCTGTGTTTTCATAATCGACTAGTCAGTGAGTGGGATGCCTGAACATCTAGTTGACTAATAATAAACGTGGTTTAAGGTCACTTGACCCTGATCTAAGACATTCATTCAGAAGCAAGGGATCTGAAAACAGCTTCATAAAAAACTTTCCTTGCAACTTTTTAAAATAAAACACAACTAGGGAATAAACAACA